GTTCCTCAAAAAATAAATAGAATTACCACATGATTCAGTCATTCCACTTCTGGATATATATCCAAAAGAACTGAAAGCAGGGTTTCAAAGAGTTATATGGACACCCATGCTCAGGACAGCATTATTCACCATAGCTAAAAGGTGGCAGCAACTAGTGTCTATCGGCAGATGAGTGGATAAGCAAAATGTGACCTACAATACAATACATTCGCCTTAAAAAGGAAGAAAATTCTGGCACATGCTACAACATGGATGAACCCTGAATACATTATACTAAGCGAAATACGCTGATCACAGAAAGACAAACACTGTGTAATCTCACTTATATGAGTATTTGGAGTTGTCAAAATCATAGAAACTGAAAGTAGAATGGTGGATGCCAGGGGCTGGAAGAAGGGGAGAAGGGGGACTTACTGTTTAATGGGTACAGTTTCATGTTTGCAAGATGAAGGGTTCTGGAGATGAGTGGATGGTGGTGATGGTTGTGTGGTAATGTGAATTACTTAATGCCACTGAACTATACACTTAACAGTTTAAGATGTTACGTGTACTTTAAATCGAGGGAAAATTAGTTAGCTAAGCCTGTTTTTCCCTCAAAGGAAAAAAAAAATCACCCTACCTGGGGGCAGAGGCGAGTGATAAAGAAGGAAATCATAGGTCTACTCTGTAAAAAACAATCCATGTTTTCAAGCTTTTTGAATTCCAGGCCCAGCTGCAAAAGAGACAAACCACACACCTCCACCCCTCTGAAGCCACAAGAAGCTACTCACCTCACTGAGGTAAATAAAAAAAGAGCAGGTGGACCCATCCACTCCGTAGTCTGCGTAGCAGGGATCCGAGCGCCACATATCTTTCATCCACTGAAACAACAAGAGCCATGTCAGAACAACTCTGAACAGTCCCGTTCGTGGTGGCCCCGCCCATCTGCTGATGAGACGCTAAGGACATACAGGTGCATGGCTCAAGCTCTGGCCTAAGCTCAGAGTCGCTGAGCTGAGGTCGGGTGACAGATGCTCAGTTCCTGGATGATCCACAGGTAGACACTGACTTGAGTTGGCCCTCAGCACACGTGCTTAGAGTAGAGACTACGGGCCACACCAGGCAGCAAAGCCCAGGAGGGGCACTGCCTAGGAGAGCTTTATCAAGACCAAGCGC